GTATAAATTTAAATAGAGAATGACCTAATTTAACAAAATCAAGCTCACTTTTCTTGCCTTTTAGTTAATTATTCTACATCTCAAAACATTCCCATCGAATAATTTCATTTACTTATCTATACAGAGATTTACATGAAACAAAGAAATGGATCTGATCAAATGCTAGTCAGTTCAGACAAACCATTAGTATATTCTTTTAATTAAAATAAAATCAGTACAATGTATAAATTAGTTTGGTAGGTATTTCAAACCATAGGATGACTTACTAAAGAAGAAAACCGTAGACAGGCTTCTGCACCTGGCTTTCTATACTTTGTCACTTGCCTGTTCCAATCTGTTAGAAATACAGCTATCGATAGTCTATATTAATGTCTCACTTATGAACCCCAAGAAACTACTTGAAGTAGGAACTGCCATCCTAACTACTTCTTTGAAAGGAAGTAGATTTTGGAAAGGAAATACAGACAACTGTTTTAAAGAAACTTAGGTTATAACTAACATAGTTTAAGTATCAGAATATAAAAACAGCTCAAAACAAAACGCATTATTGAAAAGCAATTAAAAAACAAAACAGTTCGTTCAATGACAGATATTTACTGAGTAAGAGAATGTGCCTAATCACTTTGCCGTGGCGGGGGCGGGAGGGGGGAAGGTTAGGTGGTCCATGACTTGAATAAGCCTGTGGACACTTCCATTTCTGACCATGATGGAGTAACAACCACCAGATTTACCCTCCTGTCTCAAACAACTAGAAATATGAAGCTACAGTTTTTAGACATTAGACAATTAGGCAGCATGGCCAGCCATCCCTAAGAGAAGGGAACGAACACACGGTGAGCCCTGCTATGGCATCAGCTCACCCTAGAGGTTTCTAGGCTACAGCACATGAAGAAAGATCACAAGCAGAGTGTGGCAGTCTCACCAAGTTGAGTAGGCAAAATCCAGAGTTCAAAGAAGCTAACATGGCAAGAATTTGAGGAGAGGAGGTCTGCGTGCAGAGAATGCTCTGGAGAAGTCCAGAAGTAACCCTGTGGCTCTTTGGCTAAGTAATGGCCAGTGTTGGTATGAGAAGAAACTACCCAAATCCCGACAAAGAACCATTGCAAGGAAAAGGGAGAGTGATTGCCAGGGAAACACAATGTTGAGAATAGTACGTGTTCTTAACAGCCAGAGTAGGAAAATCTCCTAATACACAGGCATCAAGCAGAATACTTAAAAGAGTTATTGCCTCAGTAGTGGGGCCAAGTTAGCCCTAGACAAAAGGGTTCTCTGGTCACATCTTACAAAATAAAGCTTCTAAAGGACCAAAAGGATTTTGAGTAACTAAACTCTGCCCTAGGAACAGACACATAAAAAACAAGCAACCAAAAATATAACCAATAAAATTTTTCAACAGGCTGAGATGTAAAAAAATATAACCCCAAAGGAGTAAAAAAAAAAAAAAATCAATAAGCAAAAACTGACCCAGAAAATGAAAGATAGAATTAGCAGACAAGGATATTAAAATAGACATCATAAATGTAGCTCATCCTACACTGAAGACCACAGAGGAAAGTATGAGCACGCCAAGGAGAAACACAGGCACATTTTCAAAAAAGGCCCCAATCCAACTTTCTTTTTTTTTTTTTTTGAGACAGAGCCTCAAGCCGTGGCCCTGGATAAACTACCAGGACATCACAGCTCACAGCAACCTCCAACTCCTGGGCTCATGGGAGTCTCCTGCCTCTGCCTCCCAAGTAGCTGGGACTACAGGTGCCCACCACAACGCCCAGCTATTTTTTGGTTGCAGCCTTCATTGTTGATTGGCAGGCCCAGGCTGGATTCGAACCTGCCAGCTCAGGTGTATGTGGCTAGCGCCTTAGCCACTTAAGCCACAGGCACCGAGCCCCCAATCCAACTTTTAAAGATGAAAATATATAACGTCAGAGAGGAAAAAGACGGGATGGGATAAAAAGCAAATTAATGCAAAAGAAATTAGTGAACTTGAATATAAACTATATAAACTATCAAAAATAAAGCAGAGAAATTAAAAAGACTAAAAAATAAATAGAGAGTCAGTGAGGTTGGGACTTCAAGTAGCACCCCACATATGACATCAAAGTGTCACAAAGTGACGAGGTGGGGGAAAAAAACAAAATATCTGAAGAAATAAAGATCAAGAAGTTCACAAATACGAAGAAAACCAGAAACCTACAGATCCAAGAAGATCAACAAAAAAACAAGGTAAAGAAACATGAAAAACACTACACCAAGGAATACCAGGAACAAATTGTTGAAAACAGATAATAAAGAGAAGATCGTGATAACTAGCCAGAAAAAAGAGACATGATAAGTGTAGAGGAACAAAGATAAAAATAACAGTACACTATTTGTTGGGAAAAACGCAAGCAAAAGGATAATGGAGTAACCTTTAAAATATGGGTGAACACCCTGTCAAACCGGAATTCCACAGTACAAATACTTTTCACAAATGAATGCTAAAGAAAGGAATTTTCAGATATACTAAGTTGAAAGAATTCATGCCTGGCACTACAAGTTATAGTAAAGAAATCCTTCAGGACAGAAAGAAAATGAAACCAGATAGAAAAGTGCTTCTATTCAAAAGGATGAAAAGCACCAAAAATAAGTATGATAATAATTATCAAAGATTACCTTTTCTATTTTTTCAAACTCTCAAGAAGATTACCGATTGTTCAAAGCAAAAATAAAAACAATGTATGTAGTGTTTATAAAATACATGAGTATAAAACATATACACATGATATATTTTAGTTCAGTGATACAAAAAAAATATTTTAATAAGGTCCTTAAAGAATATAAAGCCTGGCTAGGTGCCTGTGGCTCAAGT